TAAATAGATGATGGATGGATGGATGGATGGATGGATGGATGGATGGATGGATGGATGGATGGATGGATAAATAGATAGGCAGGCAGGCAGACAGATAGATATAATATAGATAATATATTTTATATTATGTGTATAATATATAGAAAATACAATTTTTATCCAAAAATAAGACAGGGTCTTATTTTCTTTTGACACCCAAAATAAGCACTCGGCCTTATTTTTTGGAGTCACCTCATGGCTGCTGCTGTGTTGCAATATATTTTGGGGAGGGCTTATTTTAGCGCATGCGCTCAAAAGCCCGATTGGGCTTATTATCTGGGGAGGTCTTATTTTTGGGGAAACACAGTAAATAAATAACAGCTAACTCATCTCTTCTCCCCTACTCTGATTTCTTACTCCCTTTTTTTTGGTTGCATTTCTGAATTAAAGCAGAAATTTAAGAAAGGATCCTTTGGAAATTAACAAAACGGATCCCCACACTTTGGTGGGGGGGAGAGAAAATAGCCAGTCCCCTCCCTGGGAGATCTGGGTCCCTTTGGGGCGAAGGAGAAATGGATCCAAGCAGATCTCTCTCTCTCAGCAAGCTTTGAGGTTTCCTGTTTGTTCTCTTTCCACAGAGAGTGGAAGTTCCACTTGGAACTTGTGTCTCCTTCATCTGCCTTCTTGGGAGGAGGCCTCCAGTACAGCATCCTTGGGGAAAGGGGCATTGTGGTTGGGGAATCCCTTCCCCTCCGCAGGAGGAAGGGCTGCAAAACATTTAGGGCAAATTTGCCAGGATGTCCAGCTGGTCCCAGGGATGTCCGCAGGGTGTGGTCAAAGAAGAGGGTGGACCCAACGAGGCCATCAAAGTTCTGTTGTGGTTGCCACCTTGGGACCTTTGACCATGCCTTGTGGATACCCTTGGAGACCTCCTCCTGGCACGGAGGTCTTTCTCCTTTCTCCTAGTTCTTCTCTTGGGGGGCCCCCTGGGAGCCCGCTAGCAGCTCCTTCAAGGCCCCCATTGCCTCCGTGGATTCTCTTGGGTCCACCTCGGTTGTGTTCTCCATTCTTTTCATCTTCTTGGCTACAACCTTCTCCGACGGGGGTGCCCTGACCTCTTTGCCCATCTCCTTCGGCTGCCCTGTCCCGCTCTCCTCCCGGGAGGTTCCCGACCCTCCTTCCTTGGGTCGGAAGGGCCCCACGATCCAGTTCAGAGGGGTGATCTGGACGAGGTGTTCCGCTAACTTATGGAGAACGTCCCGGGCTTGGGAGATCATCTCCTGGCTCTGGGTGAGGAAGCCAGAGGGCAGGTCCTGGAAGGACTCGACGGAAGAGAAGGAGCGGTAGAGGTGGTGGAAGTTATTCTGAGTTTGGTCCACTCTTTCCTGGAGGTTCCTGGGCAGCACTTCAACGGTGGACATCAGCCAGGTGTAAGCAGGGCTGAGATCTTGGATGAGGGATCTTAACATGGCCAAAGTCGCCGACTCGACCTGCAGAGGACAAATTGTGAATCACAACAGGACTGAGTATGATGCGTGCTTTGGGATTGCAAATTGTAAATAAGCCAGTGCTTCTTTTCTCCAAAGATGGCCTCTTGAAGATGGGTGGACTTCAATTCCCAGAATTCCCTAGCCAGCATCCTTTATGATGGGTGGACTTCAACTCCCAGATTTCCCCAGCTAGTATGGTTTAAGATGGGTGGACTTCAACTCCCAGATTTCCCTAACTAGTATGGTTTAAGATGGGTGGACTTCAACTCCCATAATTCCCTAACTAGTATGGTTTAAGATGGGTGGACTTCAACTTCCAGAATTCCCTAGCTAGTATGGTTTAAGATGGGTGGACTTCAACTTCCAGAATTCCCT